ATACCTGACAGAATCCTTTGGTTGTTTCATATCCACCTGCACAGGTTACATTGGCAGGAAGACCAGGCCATTGTTCCTCACAGTTCTTTGATGTAATGACAGACACGTTCACCACCATCAGCTCATCAGCAGGTTCATCAACAGTTTCAGTTTTTCCCCATCCAGCCACCTGACACACTTGGTTTTCTTTTAGGTTTATTTCAGCATGTGGAATTTGAATTATTTCTACTCCATGGCCCAGTTTAACTTTCTCAGACAGCTGGAGACACAACATGAAGTAAAAAATATATCTATGTTCATACGATAGTTCTTTAGATATAATCTGAATAATAAGGTCAAGGTCAAGGTCAAGGTCAGATTTATTTATATAGCACATTTCCAACAGCCGATGCTGCACAAAGTGCTTAACAATAACAATAAGATTAAAAACTACAGTGTAATACAATAATAACAATAGAAACAATAGAATAGAAGAATTGAAACAATACTAACTAATTCAGATAAATCCAAAATGCTTGGGTCATAATGTGTTAAAAGCCAGAGCGTAAAAGTGTGTCTTTAGTAAAGATTTAAATTGCTCAAGAGTTTGAGCAGATCTAATATTAAAGGGGAGACTATTCCAAAGTCTGGGACCTGCCACAGAGAAGGATCTATCACCACGAGATTTGAGGTTAGTCCGTGGAATGGACAACAATAGTTTTGAACTAGATCTCGTGGGTTTTCCTGGAGCATAGGCAGAGAGGAGCTCTGACAAGTAGGGGGGGCTCGGGCGTTGAGTGACTTAAAAACAAAAAGTAAGAGTTTAAATTGGATCCTGTAGGGGACAGGGAGCCAGTGTAAAGAGGCTAAAATTGGGGTTATATGCTCTCTCCGTTTGGTACCGGTTAGCAGGCGAGCAGCAGCATTTTGAACCATCTGAAGGCGATGGATGGTGGCATGATCTAGGCCATAATACAATGAATTGCAGTAGTCCAATCTGCAAGTAAGAAAAAGGTGGATGATACGCTCGAAGACGTCAGCCGGAAGGTATGGCTTTATCCTGGCTAGCTGTCTTAGCTGAAAAAAACAGGACTGAACTACTGCACTCACCTGCTTATTCAATTTAAAAGAACCATCAATGTAAACTCCGAGGTTTTTTACATGTGTTTTACAATACGAGGAGAGGGTACCCAACGTGCTGTCGATATGATTGAAATTGCCAAAAATGACAACCTCAGTTTTGTTTTCGTTTAGCTGTAAAAAATTTAATGATAACCACTGTTTAACGTCGTCAAGGCAGCGTAATAAGAGCTGCGGTTGATCTGATCCTGATTTTAAAGGTAGATAAATCTGTAGATCATCCGCAAAGCAATGAAATGAAATGCTGTACCGCGAGAAGATGGAGCCCAATGGCAGCAAATAGAGTGCGAAGAGGGCGGGACCCAAGATAGAGCCTTGAGGAACGCCGTATTTAAGAGGAGCTAATTTGGAGTTGTGGGGGCCCATATTGACATAAAAGAACCTTTCTGACAAGTAGGAGCGAAACCACAAACACATCATGTGAAACTGTTGTGAACATGAACATGTACTTACTTCAATCAGCATGATATCATCACCCAGTCCAACACTTTTATAATTTTCATGGATGCTTTTGTTTTCAATCTTTATTTTTTGATGATTGCAGCTCTTCAGATTGTGGTTGCCGAGAACAACGTGTGTGGGGTTGCTGAAGGAGTAATCAATACAATGTGTTTTAATGACATGAGTCAGAGATTACAGCAGAAGATGTTTGATTACTCACGAGTCATCACAGTTTGCAGCCGAGACTACAAAGTCTTCAGTGATGAGAAATCCTCCACAAACATGTTGACCCTTGTTGTTCTGCACAGAGGCCATGTAGTGCATGGAGTTCTCTGGGGCTTTTGTACCATGTATGATGTCACTTCCATGTGCTGAAAAAAGCAGAGTAAAGGAAACCAAAATGAAGTTAACGTTCCATTGAACGATCAGAGGACAATAACAAAGTTTTGCAGATCTTACCGAGTCGTCCGAGACATGCCAGAACATGGAGGAGCAGGATTTTTTGCAGACTGAGCATGATGCCAGCAAAAAGGTGAAGTTGTGTTGGCACAAGTGTGAAATTGACCTTTTATACAGCAGTTGCTCTGTCAAATCTGATGATCACAATTTGACTTCTAACCACATCCTGTTTTTTTGGGCACTTGTATTATCTTTACATTATCTTGTTCATCAGTATTACACTACCTCATCATCCTGAAACACACGGGCTGTTTAATGGTTGCAAGTTTCTCACGGTCTCTCACACCACAACTTTTGTACACAAGCAGGCATGTCTAAACCTTCATAAAGCTGGGTTGTTGAAACATTTTTACACCACTGTTAAAGCTCAAAACAACAATATCCCACTGAGTTACTGATTTTATACTTGAACCAAGACTAATAACATTATGGTACTTGGCTCATAATCTGTCCACCAGCAATGTAAAAACAGGAAGGAGATGCCTTTTCATTTAGCGCCTCCTTGGGACCATTTCTTCCACTGTGTGAACTGTTTATGGAGCGAGGTTCTCCTACGGAAAAGTGGTAGTGCCCTCCTGTATGGAGCTTGGTCTCTTGAATGAATAATATGTAAATAGTGCTTTGGCCGTAAAGAGAGTTTTGGAAAGAATCATGAGTTTGAAGCTGGAAATTGGAGACTGGAAAGGATGTGCAGGAAGATTCAGGATCGAAACTGAAATGTTCCAACAAGTGAAGAGAGTGTGTGGAGAAGATGGGAGGAGCACTGTGAGGAGCTGATGGATGTGAGAAAACGAGAGAGAGGGAGGAGAATGGATGGAGGATGGTGAATATAATGAATCAGGAAGTGTAGGAAGACACAAATGATATGAAACGGAATTCTTTAATAGCAATACATTATGGGTAGTCGCTACCATGTTGTTGTCCATGCAATACCAAAACAAAGATGGACACCAACAAGCATGATACGATACAGATAGAAGATAAACGATGAGGGAAAGGAGCGTCGTTAGGAGGGTTTAAACACAACGAATGGCCATTTTATCTTTAGGACCTACTGATGCTAACAGTAGTGGTGAGCACACAGCAAACATGTTAAGAATGATAAACTCACATGGAACTTTATGTTTACTGAGAGCAAAGTGGTTTTTCTCATTAACTGAAGAATTAATCACTGAGAGGTGGTGTGCATCACCACAGAAGATGTCTGATTACTAATGAGGCTATACGACATGCATCATAGACCACAGAGTATTTGGTGATTAGAAATCATTGATATACATCACCTCTGGTGTTCTGCACAGAGGCCATGTGCTGCACTGAATTCTCATGGGCTTTTTTGCCACGTATAGTTTTACCAAGAAATTGTGGTAGCGTATGCAATGCCATACTCTCTGCAAACATATAGCTCAAAAAGTGTCGAATGAATTCTGTTAAAATGTTGTAGGGGTGTAGAGCGGGGTCATCTTAACAAAGCATTAAAATCTGGCTCACATCCACCGTTGACCGTCTTCAAGGTCAACTTCAAGATTTATTGGTGGAAAACTGAAAAAGAAGCCTTTTAAAATTAAAAGTGCTTAAAAGTAAAAGTGTGGTGTGTATTGTCGACATATAGAAAGGAACACATAAAGACTTAAGGATTTTTCTGGAAACCACACAGCTCCCCTGTGACAGAGGAAGATCGTGACAAAGGAGACTGAGACAATGGCCGTGTTCCAAAATCGCCTCCTATCTCCTATTAATGGCTGTGCCTCATGTTATCTGTCTGAGCTGCTACACCCTTATGTCCTGCCTCATTCTCTCAGGTCAGCAGACCAGATGCTTTTGCTCGTTCCAAACACTCAACGTAAGCACAGAGGTAGGAATAAAGTGCTGCAGTTTGCAGTGCTTCTTACCAAAATAATCCAGTGTAAACTCGGGTTTCAGTCCAGTGGTAATCTCTGAAAATAGGCAGTTCTGATAAGTGAGAGGAGGCTGAAGGAAAATCAGTATATTTTGATATAATGTTACCGTGCCACATGCGTGTGGCAACATTCAGGCATTAATCTAACACAGTAACAGTATTAATTACAGATTCAGCAGAGAGAAACTGCTCGCTGTGTGCGCACTGCTGAGAAAAAGAAGCTGAGCTCGGTTTATTTCTGCTCTGTTTCATGAAAACTGTGTTAGTGAGGAGCAAAGAGTGGGCTCACCGACACACTTGGCATGAAGACTGAGTGAAGAGTTTCAATACAGAGAGTTCTCTCTCGTTCTGATAACATCTCGCCTCCGAAAAATAAACTCTTCTATTAGCAGCTATTACAGCCATCGCAGGCTGAATACAGGATTTTTTTTCCATGTTAAATTTTGTGCAACTTGCAAGAAACTTTGTGTCATAGACTTTTCAATTCACATTTGCCTGACTCATTTAAATATTCTCCACCTGAAAGTAAAACTCTTATAAATACTTCTGCTCGCAGCTTTCAGTCACCGACTCTTCAGCCTTTTCAGTGAATCCAACAGGTTATTAATGTCTCAAAATCTTTTAAGTCTCAAAATCTCAACCTCTCAAAATCACTGTAAATCAGACACAGCTGTCACAGATATTTTAGAGCTAATAATCAATCAAATATCTTTGCTTTTATGATCCTAACCTCATTGTGTCACTGACACTCAATATTCACATTAAACCACTAGGTGGTGATCTCTGATATATTTCGTGGGCACTGTGTGGCTTCAACCCAGTTCACAGTAATACTGGTAAAACTACAAAATTAATGATGATTATTAAAAAGCACATATGATTAACATGTGAGCAAATTGGCAAATTATATTTTTTAGTTTCAAAACTACTGATGATTGTTATAACACATTAAGAACACTTCTGGCTGTGTGTGTGTGTGTGTGTGTGTGTGTGTGTGTGTGTGTGTGTGTGTGTGTCTGCTCAGCGTATAAAGCTGTGCATAACAGTGGACTTCAGTGAATTCAACATTCGCTCAGCGAGAGTTGAGACAACATGTTCTGCCGGAGGAATTTCAGTGTTTTCATCTTGTTCATGCTTCTTTCCATCATCCAGTCAGGTGAATGATGTTTTGTACTTTAATTTACATTACTGATATCTCTCAGTTGGTGTAGGATGTGTGCTCACTCATCTGTTCTTGACTTAAAAATCTGCTGATTTTCTTATGTGACTGGATATTTTTTTTTGTTTTAGGTCATGGTTCTGAGATTATTGGAGGGAAGGAAGTTAAGCCACACTCACTGCCCTTCATGGCTTATTTGACAAGTAAGAAATCTATGTGTGGGGGGACATTAATCCACCCACAATGGGTCCTGACAGCTGCTCACTGCACTGGGTAAGAACCCAAGGTTCACTTTTCCTAAATTTTCAAATCAAAATATTGCAGTATTTATTTTTAACAGAAGATGTGAAGTGTAATGCTAACTGATATTTTTTCTTACCCAGAGCGTAACTCCTCCTGACAGGCAGGGGCTGCACTAAAATGTTTCATGCTTTTATAAGAACACAACTTTTAAACCTTTCACCTTGAAAATGACATACTACAGTTGTCTTTACTCATTGTGATGTCAAAGGATCTTGTAGTGAAAAAATAGTAAGTGTGTTGTACAGCTCTCTCTCCATGCTTTGACCTTGGGTGCTAACAGTGAAGGTCAAGGTCAAATGCATAGCCAAACTAGGTACTCATGTCCCCTAAGATGTTTGAAGATGATCCATAAACAATTGTGGGCAATTTCAAGTTTGATGTGGCTTTGACCTGATTTTCACCTACATGAAATCAGCTTTAGTTGTTATTTGTGTCTGACATCACACAACGCTTGAAAACTAGCAAACAGACAAACAAACACAAAGAACCGATTACATCCTGCCCTCCTTCAAGTAGAGAAAAATACACTCCTGACCTTTTGATGTAAGTGAAGTGTCATCACTACACTGAGTTTTTCTTTTGCAGAATGAGCAAGGCGATCCTGGGAGCGCACTCCATCGCCAAAGAGGAAAAAGAGTGGAGGCAGGTCCGAGAGGTTGAGAAACGTTTTGCTCATCCTAACTATTTCAATCATTTTGTGGGCAATGACCTCATGCTGCTCAAGGTAAGCTGAAAATTCAGTGTCCAGTAGCCGGTCAAGCAAATATACAACAATGAAAATAAGTTTGTTTCTACCTGATAAAGTGCATTTCTGGGTATGTTTATACATGTTTCAATAATTCGCTCCAACTATTTCCCATTTTCCAAACAAAATATATGAATTATTAAGTAGTGACCCAGACTTTATCACAGTGGCAAGTCGGTAACATATAGATAGTCACTGTCAAAATGTAACATTTCTTTTCAACTCTTTCTCAGCTTAAGGAACCAGTAAATACAACCAAGTCAGTAAAATGGCTCCAGTTGGGCAAAATTGTCAAAGACCCTGCAGATGGCACCACGTGTCTGGTTGCTGGATGGGGAATAACTGAAGAGAACCACACCTCGGATGTTCTCAAGTCTGTCCGCGTGACTGTGATTGGCAGACATAAGTGTAACTCTTGTGAATATTACAACTACGCACCTTTAATCACCAGTGACATGGTATGTGCTGGTTCAAATGGCAAAAAAGCAGCGGATACCTGTAAAGTAAGTATGAAGAATGTATATGAGCACGTAATCATTGAGCTCAGCACCATTTTGATGTTTTGACACCTGTAAGTGAGAAAAAAAGGTCTACAGTGCATATGTACTTGCTGCAGGGGGATTCCGGAGGCCCACTGCTGTGCGGCTTTCAGCTGGTTGGAGTTACTTCTTTTGGAGTCGGTTGTGGGGACATTTACAAGCCTGGAGTCTACTCGTTTCTCTCAAAGAGGCAACTCAAGTGGATCAAAGAAACTATGAAGTCTTAAAAGTCATCAGGCATCAGTCCACATAAACTAAGCTAGATGACAATGTTTTATGCTTTTATGATGTTTAATCGGCTGAGCTATCACTTCATACCTTTCACTTGACCAGCATCATTTTATTATCTCATTGATTATGTTATATTTTATGGAATCTTTGTCACTGCTGGCTTGCTCTAATCGTTACAGACTGTGCACATAGCAGCCTGTGGTTAGTCCGTTTATGCACACACAAAAGTAAAACAACAGTGAGACTGTCCAGTCTGTCCCCCAGACACATTCACTATGTCCAGTAAATGAATATGAGGATTTTGAACAGATTTTTTCACAAAGATAAATTTTTAAATATGTTTTCTTGTTTAGTTTTGTTCAGTATTTGTACTTGACACATCCCCTCCCTGCCAAAAGACAAAACAAAAAACAAAATTGATACAAAACAATATTTTACTTTACTTTTACTTTCTGCTTTTCCTACTTTCTAATAAAGCTGAAGTAAAGATATCTTTCCTTCTGTCTGTCTCTTATTGTTTGTACTGCAATTCTCTCAAAGTGTCATGTTTTTACAGTAACTTCTAATTCTCACATCACTAAATCTTAATCTTAATTTAAGAAATCTTTATCAAAAATTGGTAATCAGTCCTTCATTTTTAACCAAATTAAATGTCTTTTAAGCCTAAAAAGGCAGTAAGGCCACATTCTTGATTTGTTCTTTGTCAAACGAACCCTTTGTGGCTTATTTATTTACATATTTGATGAGGTAAAAATCATTTTGCTTCTCTTACATTTTCAAATAAAATATAGCAGTGTTTTTTTTATCACACTGTCTCATAGGTAATACATTGTGTGATTGTGTGTTTTTTTAAATTGCGATCATAAAAAAACCCCACATAATTAATTTGATTTAACATTTCACAGAATTAACAGGTGCATCAATGATATAATGTTACCATTAATACCGTTACACCAAAATATTTTGCTTTATAGCCTCAAGGTTTTGTCTGGCATCACTGGTTAAGCACTAGCCTGGTTTTCCTCCTATTTTTCTGAAAGAAGATTTTCTGTTAGGGTAAACAAGTTCTCTAGCACTGCTTCTCTAACCTGTGGGGTTCCACAAAGTTCAGTCCTTGGTCTATTGTTTTTGTTTTTTACATGCTACCTTCAGCATTATTCCATTCTTTTGTTTCTTATTTCCATGCCAATGATATTCTGCTGCTTATGTCTTTTAAGCCTTGTCAGCTGGATAGACCTTAGTTGATTGTTTATTCGAGATTTGCGGCTGGCTCTCCAATAACTGCTTTGTTTTAAACTCCAATAACACCAAGGTCGTGATAATAGCTGCTCCCGATATACATTCAAGAATCAGTCAAGTGATTACTTTGTTTGGAGCTTGGACGTCTGTGCGTTGTCATAAAATAATACATAAACTAATTTAAGTCTATTAGCAGCATCCAACCAATCATCCAGTTTTTTTATCTAATAAATGCTCATTTGACTTCTCCCTTGTTGGTGAGAAGTTGGTAGATTGGATCTGGCTGGTTTACGCTTTTTTATCAGTAAGTAATGTAAAAAAAATATTGATTTTTAGATCTGGTGCAACAGCACGTGCGCTAAATATGTTTCCTTCTCTCCTTCATTTCTTTATTTTAACCATTTTTCTTGTCTCACACTTAATAAATACATTTCAGAAATTAGAGCTTTTGATTATTTAATTATCTACAATTGAAGAAGTCAGATGCAAGTCCATGATACTGTTCTTAGGAACTGTTTGATTTGGCCAGTTGTCACTATCTTCAGATCCTGTAGCAAATTGAATGAACCACAGAAACCACAATTTCCAGATAAGATTTAAACTTCAGAGCACTTCCTCAGACTCACGGTTATGAAACTTAGCTGTATTTAGACAGTTACCCCATTTCACCATCCTCAGAAGTTTATTGATTAAACCTGATTAAAAATGAAATGTCATCCATATTAATAAGGCTCATGAAACTGTAGACAAGATGGAAACTGAATAGCTGTTAATTGTAAAACTTTGTCTGATATTTATTTATTGCCCCACTGGTCCAATAATTAACACATTGCTTAATATTGACTTTATATTCTCAGTTTGATAGCATAATGGTGGAGTACGATGCTAATAGATGGAATAGTTAAAAGGTTTTTGCTAGGTTCTGATTATGTGTGTAAAAACATTGTCCCTTCAGTCGTAAGTATATTTCAGTCATTATAGAACTGCACTTGTGTTTTACCAAAGAAAGCAATATTTAAAAAAAAAAAAATGTATTGACAGCGATTTAACAGCACAAGTACAATCCCAGGGTGTCAAAGCAAATCTTTAAGTAAGATTTAACAAGTCTTTTTTCCTGAGAATCGTGTTGATCCAGTAAAGTTGTTTTGAAATATCTGCATTGTACCATCTCCACCCCAATGTTCTGTGTATTTCCTCAGTGCTCCCTGTATTTCCTACTTCTGTTCCCAGTTTAGTTCCCTAGTTTCTTAGTTTTTTGGTTTGAGTCCCTAGTTTCTTGTTTTTGGTTTTATTTTCTGTATTAGTGTAAGAGTATTCCTAGTAGTAAAAGCTGCCTTTTTGAATTTATTCCCTCGTGCTTGAGTCCTGCTTTGAGTCCACAGCACCACACTGTGACAGCAGCTTGACCAAATCAATTCATTGAAAATGTATTACAGTTTCTATTTAAATATTAAAGCAATGAATAAACACTGTTCTCACTTGTGTCTGTAGGTACATGAATAAAATGTGATCATGTAGAGCTTTTACATTTTTTAGGCTTTAAGTCGCTGCTAATATTGAGGATTTAGCAAGTACAGAAGTAATACATTATTTACTAATCAGTTATTTATTACTGAAGATCAATTATTTACTTTATGATTGTAAATAATTATTACATATCCATTCATCCATCCTTATCAGGGACGCTGTCCCAGGTTGCTCTGACATCCTGCTACTGTATGTTGATTATTGTCTTTGGCGCAAATTTGTACAGTGTGTAACTTGGAATCTCTCGGCTGTGGTAGACTCCACATGTAGAGGCTTTATTGTCCATGACAGTTCCCTTTCCTCTTTAACTACCTGAGGAATTCTTGGAGCAGCTCATCTCAGGTGCATGTCTTCCTGATGCATTTGCATCTTAGACTGGGCTTTGAAACTCTCTTATCCTCGCCACGTCTCTTTCCTTTGTTAATAGACTTGTAGGTGCTGGACTTTGGATCATGGTTTTCATGTCGTGACATCATGATCATCTATCTCCTACTGTGGATTATTATTCCAGTTGGGTATATGACAGCTGTGGTGATGCATGCATTAGTGGCTTGGATCTTACTTCTACTGTTTAACTGGCATGAAAGCACTTGCCTTACCTACTGTGTTTGGCTGTGATGGACCTTCGAGCATCTTTGTCATGGTTCCCCCATTTAACACAAAAGAAATCTTTATTATAATCAATTAACTCAATAATCATATAAATAGTAACAACAAAAGAGACAGCACCGCTGCTTTAATGATAAATCAGACAGGTCAACCCAAAGAGATAGTGACCACTTCAACAAAGAAAACAACTATAAGGCTTCAACAGAAAAAGACAGCAACGCTGCCAATACCCAGGCAGGCCAAACAAACTAATGGAGGCCGCCGTCACTTAAGGGAAACCACCGCTCAGTTAAGAACTACTCACAAAGAGCCACGCACGGTGGGGCTGGTCACACACAGCAGGCCTTTTCCATACCTAGACCAGTATCACACACTGCCCATCACAGAAGCACTCCACCAGAAGCCTCTCCCACATCCACACTGCTCTTCTCCAGCTTATATCACCTCTGAGGGTAATTGGTGGTAAACGAGGGCAGATGAGCAGCAGGTGTGTCCTAAAGGAGAAGGCAGGGGCAGAGAGAGACAAGGGGAGGGGCAAGAAAGAAGGAGGAGGAGAGGGAGAAGACAACACCACGCCCACACACTCCCACAGCCTCACAGGATGTAACAAGGTACTTGCACCTGTCCTGTATATCTGCTGATCTGCATTCTGGTAGCTCCACTCCTACAGTCTGGATCACCTCCCCTCTCATTGCTATCATTTGGCCACGCTTGAATTACATCCTGATATCCTCACTGTAGATCGTGGTGAGGTGGATCAGTGACGAGTCGATGTCTCGCTTGCTCTTGGTGTACCACTGGTCATCACCTGGTCTTTACTTTGCAGGCGGTGGTTGATGGCCGATATGAAAATTGGTGACTGAATCTTGAGAAAATAGAAAATGAATCTTTAATTGGCACATGTAATTCCTGCTTTAATAAGTCAGAGGTTAGTTTAGATATATTAAATAATTTTATTTCCATTCATTATTTATGGAACACCAGGACTGACATAATGAATTAATTAAATACATTTATTTATTTATTTTTAAATAAACTGCTAAGCTAATGACAAAAACACAGTTTTTAATCCAATTAACACTTGGTGTCATTTGAGTTCTCACTCATTTCCAGCACATTTGCACATTTAAACTTTTGTAAATAAATGACTTGATTTAGAAAAGTTTAAATGTGCAATAATAAGCAAAACTCTTGTAGCTCTAGTGGTACAGCATGTGTACTGTATAAAAACAAAAGTTGTTGACTTCTCTCCCTTTTTAATTATTTGTGGACCATTTTCATTTGGCTGGTGAGGCAGCACGGTGGCACGGTGGTTAGCACTGTTGCCGCACAGCAAGAAGGTCCTGAGTTCAATTCTACCATCAGGCCGGCGTCTTTCTGTGTGGAGTTTGCATGTTCTCCCCGTGTTTGCGTGGGTTCTCTCCGGGTACTCCGGCTCCCTCCCACCGTCCAAAGACATGCAGCTTGTGGGGATAGGTTAATTGGATAATCCAAATTGTCACTAGGAGTGAATGTGAGTGTGAATGGTTGTCTGTCCTTGTGTGTTAGCCCTAAAGGGGTTCTGAATAGTCTAGATAATTTCACACCATTTAAAAAATCATATAAAAGATGAAACTGGAGCTAGAATCTCAGGAGTGGGTCCACACCTCCATACACATTTCTTCCAGCTCTGTGTATGACCAGTCTTTTGCAGCTGAGGTGTAATAAAGAACAAAAGCACTGTTGACCTGCCCAATAATGACACCTCCTTGGTGGCTGAAGCTCAGGGGTTAGAGCAAGTCATCTGCGAAGGTTGGTGCTTCAATCCCTGGGTGCTCCAGTCCACATGCCAAATATCGTTGGGCAAGATACTAACTCCAAGTTGCTCTCCGACGAAGAACATAGAGTATGATTGTTGTAAATGTTGGATAGACACTTACATAGAAAAAGCATATTAAACATTTGTGAATGGGTGAGGCTAACTGTGTAAAGCACCATATAAGAACCAGTCCATTTACCAGAGTCATTCTTTTTCACAAATCTTTTAGCAGCCTTCTTGAAACATATGTTATCAGTATTATTGTTACTA